AGTTCTTTCAGGAGGTGTTTGGTTGATGCGTTCTATCTTTGCTCAGCCCTCCGGTAATAATTTATCTGAGCAGTTTTCACTTCTTTTGAAATAGTGTCCAGATTTTTTAATCTTCGTTTTCAAGGAGTTGGATTCTTAAGCCCTCTCTCCTTGACCTGTTTTCCACATCAGTTATTTTAGATATCAGGCATCCGACATTTTCTTCGGTTTTTTTTTTTCCAGTTTTTAAAATTTTGTTCTAATCTCTCTTTCTCATAGAATCATGAATTTCTATTGGTGTGTTCTAGTTTTCAGGGATTCCATTTCTTTTTTTTTCTTTTTTTGGTGAGGCAGTTAGGGTTAAGTGACTTGCCCAGAGTCACACAGCTAGTGAGTGTTATGTGTCTGAGGCCGAATCTGAACTCAGGTCCTCCTGACTCCAGGGCCGGTGAAGGGATTCCACTTCTTGAGAAAGATTTACCACTTTTCTAGGTATTTTATTTCCCTTCCAGTTTTTTCTCCAGAGTTTTTGTTTCACTTTTTGCTTCATTTCTTCTAGATATTCATATAGTCCTTGTGGAACATGTATTTTTCCCCTTGGAGTCACTGTCTGCATTTCGGGGGGAGAATCTCTGGGTCTCCAGTCGTTTTTGGTGCCGGTCGATGTCTTTGATTTACTCCTCTCCCAGCCTCCATTCCTGGACTGAGGCTTTAGGCCAGGCCAGCTCCCCCCAGCTGCCCTTTTGGGTGTGATGGTTAGCCAGGCTTGCTCTTGGCCTATGTCGTCCCCACCCCCCCCCCGCCCCGCCCCGGTTTCTATGCTGACCTCTCTTCCCAGGGTTGAGTCTCCTGGTCTTTGATGATTCCTCAGGGCCCTCCTCCATGGTGTCTCAGAGCCCCTGGGCCCTGGGCTGTCCTGGTCTGAAGGCACTGGGGGGGCCAGGAGGCCGCAGGCACGTTGGCCCGTACCGGTGTCCAGCAGCCCCCTTTTCTGTGTCTTCACCTCTTGGTCAGTTCTGCGGGGGAACAAGCCAGCCTTTAGGAGACCCTGGGACCTTCTATGCTGTGGTGGGAGGACGGGCAGTGGACTGGTCAGTGTTTTCGCCGCTCCCCTTTGGATCCAGCCTGGCTGCCGTAGAGATGCTCGGGCGGACTGGGGAGGTGCTCCTTGGGGTCAGGGATGGTTTGTCTTTCTGTCCCCAGGGCTTGGCATTGGGCCTGACACATACGATTGGATTGAATTAGATTTGATGCCAAGAGGTTTCCTGAGAATGAAAGCTGTCCCAGTGTGGTGAGGGCTGTCTCTGAAGGGGATGCCACTTCCCTTCCCCTCCCCCCCTCCCAGGAGGCCTTCATGCAGATGCTGGGGAGATCTGGGTGAGGAGGGGGTGGCTCTGGGATCCAGGAGTCAGATATGTCTTCTTTATACCAGAGACAGAAGTCACAGAAAGGATAGGGGTTGGACGAGGGGTCATGTCCCTGCCTGGCCTGGGAGGTGAGGACTACAGGGGTCATCACCATGATTTTACAAATGAGGAAACTGAGGCGCGTAGAGGGGTAGGGGCTTGTGGAGCATGGAAAGTGACAAAGCAGAGCTCACTGGATCATACGATGTCAGGTCTGTAACTGTCATTGGGGCCTGTCCCCTCTTTCGGCATCCAAGGCCTTTTTCTTTTGAAGGTGGCATTAACAGCTGGAAAGTAAGAAGGGGACTCATGTAGGAAGTGATATTTCTTCTGAGCTTTGACAGGGATTCTTAGAGGTGGCGGTGAAGACGAGCTGTGCTCCAGGCATGGGGGGAACGTCTGGGCAAACGCTCGGCAGTGGGAGATGGGGTGTCTGTCATGGGGGACACACTGTCAGGATCTCCGGGGAATGTGGGAGAGCCCGGACAGGGAGGCTGGGGCCAGATCTGGAAAGGTGTTTGTGGTGGGCTCGAGGTAACAGGGAGCCCATGGGGCTTCCTGAGAAGGAAAGGGACCTGCTCCGAGCATCACTTTGGCAGCTGAGCAGAGGGTGGGTGGGTGAGGGGAGAGACCTGAGGCGGGAGACTAGGGAGGAGGCCTCAGAAGAGGAGAGAAGAGGGAGGTTGTGGGGGCTCTTCTCTAGCCTGAGAGCCGGCTGTGGCCAGAGCTCAGATTGGAGGCACGGCGGTCTCCGCGTCTTATTTCCTGCTGCTCCCCTGGCCCGACGCGGCCCCCTTCCTCCCTGCTCACAGCTGGGCTCCTCTCTGCACTCGGCAGGGCCAGCCCCAGTTTCCTGGAGGGCCTGGACAACACGCCTCAGCTCACGCTCAGCTGCCAGGGGGCCCCCTTTCTCCCCATCATCCTTCCTCCTTGTCCTGCCTCACCCCCAACTCCCCTAGCTCGGCACCAGCTGGGCAGAGGTCGCCAGAGGCAGCCTTCCCCCTTGTCATCTCCTAGCTGGCATCACGGACCTGCCCCTTGCAGGCCATCTGGCCTCTTGTGGCTGGCCAGGCTGGAGGGGGCAGGGCCAGGGCAGGAGGTGTGCCTCTCCCGCATCATGCACCAGGTGGCACAAGGGCGGTGGTCCCGGTCCCTTTCTGCCCACTCCCCCCAACGCTGAAAAGTCCCTGAAGGACACGGTCACTCAGTCACCCCTGGGGTGTCCTGAGTCTTCTCCCAGGAAACAAGTCTGAACCTTACGGGCATAGTGGGGTGTATGGCAGAGGGGGTTCGCCAGGCACCAAGGCATGGCCAGCATCCTGAGGCAGCAAGTGAGGATCAGGGCCAGGGAGTGAGAGGGGGTGCAGGGAGTCATTCCCAGGCCAGTGCCCCCCTCCCCCTTGTTTAGCTTCCCCTCTGGTTCCCAGAGCCCCACCAGGAATAGTGAACCTATGAGGTCATCACAGGCAGGGGGAGTAGAACAGGCCGGAGGAAGGGGGCTGGAATGAGCCCTATGGAGTGGGGGAGGCCCAGCAGGGGCCCAGCATTTCTGGGGTCCCAGATGTGAACGCTCCAGGAGGCGCCCAGGCTTGACACCAGGGCCAGCAGCATCCAGCACCTTGCCCAGCCTGGTGACCCAGGCCCCGACCTGTGAGGGGTGGGAGAGGGGGAGGAGGGCTTGGCTGGGGTCCTCCCAGTGGGATGGATGACTTCATCTTTAAAGAAGAGGAGAGGAAAGAAAGAACACACCTTGGATCGGGGCCAGCCCCAAAGACAACTGTTGTCATGGAAACGAGGGGAAAACAGTCAATAAGAGAGGCAGAGGGGGAGGGGGGGACATTCCTTCGGGTGTGGCCCAAAGCACATCTGCAGATGTGTGTCAACCCCAGACTGGTGAATCTGCACACGCATGTCCTCCCGTGTGCCCGCGCGTGTGCAGGCCCTGGAAGGGGTGGCCAGGCCGTAGGAGGGAGGAGTGGGGGGCCCCAGGAGTGCCGTCCTCGTTCGTCCCTGCCCTCTGCCCTGGCAGGGCCTGTGCCCAGGGTCAGGGCCATGCTCCAGGGGGGAGGGGAGACTCACTGGCAGGACACAGGGCAGGGCGCGGAGGTGGAGGAGGATGGAAAGCAGCTCAGGCCCTCCTTCCCTCCGTGTCCTGCGGCTCCCGCTACCTGCCAGGACATCTGTCCTCTGCTGGCCTCTCTGCCCCTTCCACCCATCATTCCTGGTTCAGCCCCAAGCCGAACAAGCCTAATCTCTGTGCGGGCCTTCACTTCCCCGCCCGCAGAGTGTAAGGCAGACATAGAGTGCTGGATGTGAGGCTCTAGCGTGTACAAAGGGCTCTGGAGGTGCGAAGTGCCGACATTAGTGCCTGCTTGCTTCTGTGGCTGAGCCTCAGTTTCCCCATTTGCAGGAGGCCTAAGATTGGCTAGAGGGCAGAGAGCAGGTGGGGAGGGGGATAGGGGGCAGAGAGCAGGGTGGGGAGGGGG